GTAACTGGTCCTTTCATTAAAATCTTTTCCTATGAACCACCTGGGTCAGATTCCACTTCCTGCTGGACAGATACATCTATCAAAATGGGAGAAAAAATGCTGCTCCTTTTGCCAAGTAATTCTACTTCTAGGATTTTATTCTACAAGAAGTTTACATATGATACAAAGACATATGTAAATAGGGATTTGCAGGCACAGCTCTTCTGAGGAACAAAGGACTAGAAAGAACATCACTGTTTCTCAATGGGAACATGAGAAATGAATGGCAGAAATTATAGCCATCATATTCTTTTAACTGGGATGAAAAGAAATATTATGTGTGGTACGTTACAATTTGTATAAAAAGAGGAGGACAGGATTAGGCAGGCATATACATGCTTGAGGGAGCTCTGGTGGCGTAGTGCCTAAGGCATTTGACTGCTAACCAGAAGGTTGGTGGTTCAAACCCACCAGCCACTCCTCGGAAGGAAGGTTGGGCAAAATCTACTTCCGTAGTGATACCGCCTCAGAAACCCAAGGAGGGGTTGCTATGAGTCAGATCCGACTCAATGGCAGTGAGTTTGTTTTTGTTTTATACATGCTTGAATGTGCATGGTCTTTTCTGGAGTGACACAAGGAAGACTGGTGACAGTTTGGCTTTGAGGAGGGAAAATGGGAGACTGAAGTTCAGAACAAGCAGATTGTAGTTTTCTTCCCTGAAGTGGGGCTTGGCCATTGACTTCCTTTGGCCAATGGAATAACAACAAACGTGACACTGACAGAAACCTTCAATGTGCTTTTGCAATTTGGTTGGGCTCTAAGGCGTCTGCCATTTTGCCCCAGACAGTGCTGCCTCTTTAGCCTGGGTCCCAGAATGAGACATGATGAACAGACCTGAACCCAGTCCACAGCTTGAAGCCAAGCTTAGCTGAGCCCAGGTAACCCACGGACCTTGGAGTCAAAACTAAAGAGCTCATGTTTTGAGCCACTGAGCTTGAGGAGGAATGTTACACAGCATCACTGCAGCAATGCCTGACCAATAGAGAGTGTTCCATGGGATCTGTGAAGCACAAGTATGTGTGTGGGTGTGTATGTGTGCAGCACCTGTGTATTTTGTGAGTGGGTAAATGCTGTGGTATACCACACAAAGAAAAGCAAGGCTTTATGATGGGTAAAACAAAACAAATGAGCAAGCATGCCCCAGAGTGGACTGTTATGTTGAGCTTGTACTCAGCCCTCTGCAGACAGTAAGTACCTTGGGCTCCATCGCAGGGAGACCCACAATTCGCAGTCCCGTCTCTCTCTGACTTGCCAGTGTTTCTAGGAAGGTGGCAGCAGCCATACAGGGGTGTTTGACTTGACTGGTGTTCAGCAAACCAGGGAAGGGGTGGCACCAGCCCACCCAGCCCAGCCACATCTGACCCAACTAGTGTGTGCCTTGGCTGCAGAGACTTCCGTCCCCACTACAGGGCTTGGCGGCTGCAGGAGGGTCCTACACCGCAGCTCCAGCAGGGACAGAGGGGCTCTGTGTGGAGCAGAAAGCTGCAGTGTACACCTCAGCCAGCTAGGGCTTTGTGAGGAGTTGTGTCTTAGAGGTCAAGGTCCCCAGGCATCCCTGCTCTTGTTCATGACCATCTCAATAGTGCCTGTGATTGAAAGGGTGAGCTCTGGAGTCAGGCTGTGCTCAGCTCCTTCAGCTGTGACCTTGGCAGATCACTTAACAACTTGGGCTTCAGTTTCTCAATTTTAAAATGGAGATTGGAATACGTTTAGTCCCGTAATGTGCTAGGAGCAATGCCTGCTTATTTTTGAGGACTTGCCACCACCAGGAGCTGTATGAAGTACACTGTATGAATGTTCTCCCTTAGTTCTTACAGAAACCATCTGACTCAGCTGGACTCCCCAAGAGACAGACCCTTAGACAAAGATTCACATAAAAGCAGTTTATCTGTGAGCTACTTCCACGAAACACAAGAACGGAGTAGGGGAGTGAGACAGGGAAGGCTAGCCATTACCACTGTGACTAGCTGGGGTTCAGTTCTGCTGAGGAACTCTGGGAGACAGAGTAGGACTCACACCTCAGAGTTATCCCAGCAAGGGAACTAGAGTGTTTATGCATCAACTCCTACTTGTCATTGGTTGAGGGCTGCTCTTGGAGGTAGATGACCAACCTTCCCATTTGCCCAGGACTAACCCAGTTTTGAAGGCTAGTGGTTCAAACCCACCAGCCACTCTTCGGAAGAAAGGTTGGGCAATCTACTTCCGTAGTGATACCACCTTGGAAACCCAAGGAGGGATCACTATGAGTCAGATCTGACTCAGTGCAATGAGTCTGGTTTTTGAGTTTATCCTAGTTTTGGAATCCCTGGGTATTGTAAATGATTAAGGTTGGTGGTTTAGATCCACCCAGAAGCACCTCAGAAGGCAGGCCTGGCAACCTGCTTCTGAGCAGTCACAGCCCTGAAAACCCTATGAGCAGCTGTACCCCACACACATGGGGTCGCCATGACTTACAATTAACTCACTGGCAACTGGTTCAGCTTTGATTTTTTGACCTGGTTTTAGCACTGAAATGCCTACGATCCCGGGAAACACCTCAGACCTGATCTAGAAGGCTGTGCACACTACCTGGAGGGCCCTGACTCCCCAGCACTTCCAGCTTGTCACACAGCAGGGCAGAAAAGGCTCCAGGGCCAAAAGCAAGCCCTCAGACAGACAGGCAGGTGCTGGTAGTGAGGAGCAACCATGCACTAAAATGGTAAGGGACAAAAGGGGTGAGGTCCAATCTGATTCTAGAGGTGAGATAAGTGTGTCTTAGAGAAGCTAAGTAACTGGCTCAGTGTCACACAGCCATCAGTGGTCTGGGGGTGGTGGACTCAAACCCAGGCCTGTCCTTTGCCCACACTCTTGGCCATCAGGTTCCCAGGTCCTCCCTCCACAAAGCGGGCACGGAATCACAAGCTGGGAAGCTGTAGAACACTGGAGATCATCGAGTCCAGTGACTGGGGATGAAAGCACCGCGTGCAGGCACATTCAAGGGGGCATGGCAGGCAGGTGTCAGACAATAGGGACGTGGCCAAGATGAGAATGTGGCACCCTCAAAAGGGGGCAGCAGCCAACTCAGCTCAGGTTATTACTGCCATCTGGGAGTGAAGGCCCAGTGCTGCTAAACCATCCCAATTGTTCAGCAGAAAGTAGATTTTTATGAGAAATCTCCCAAGTTGTAATGTTGCCAAAGAATTATCTAGAACACATTGCAAACCAACACTGTGTGGACCAAACACAGCATATTGGCCCCTAGCTGTCCAGTCATGGCCCTGAATCTTGTCCAGTGGCCCCTCTGCCCACCTCATAGGTGAACTTGGGAGTTAGTGGTGATCTCTTTCTGCCAAGGAGGTTCCTACACAAACAGGCTGGCTCAGTGTGTGTGAAGTGCACGTATCCCCCTCACTCTGAACTTTATTCATTTTCTTTCCTAATTTCTTCTTGGCAGTTTCCTCACATGTGTATCCTCAGTTGACATCAGTCATAGTCTGGTTGTTAACAGGCCAGTCAGGAAAGAACTCATGCCTGGAGCCCAGCATGCCTGCTCCCCTGACTGCTATTCATTCCCTAGGATCCCAGACTGGCCTCCACCCAGCAACTACAGGGTTAATCCAGGGTTAACTGACACAGCAGGGACCTTGTCTTCTGATTAAGGGCTGGAGCTCCTTCTCATTCTTCAGCCGAAGCAGTATCATCTTTCTCTCTCTCTCTCTCTCTCTCTCTCTTTCTTTCTCTCTCTCTCTCTCTCTCATACACACACACACACACACACACACACATTTTAAAGTATGCAAGGAAGACCCAGAGAGGTGTACAAGCAGTATAGACAACAAAGATAAGCACTTTTACATATATAAAAAAATCAATCAATCAATAAATATAAATAAAGTATGCAACCATTTTGAATCCTTGTTGAATCAAGGACGGTTACAAATAGTGGTGGGCTGGTAAATGTTTAACAGCCAGCTCTCTGAGAGTGGGAGGGAGCGCCGACCTGGAGCATTTGCCAATTTCCATGGTGTAAATACTCCCATCCTGGCCAATTTCAAGCTACCAGCACGATGTGACTAAACATGGAGTTGGAAAGAGGTGTGTAACAGCACACTAGAATACAGTATTTATTATGTAGTTGCAGCAGATACAAATAACATCAAGAGCATAGATAATAGTAAGATGTAGTAAACTAGGAAATGATGAGTTCTGAGTATTTATTACCTTTGTTTCTAATATAATTTATTATATCACTGGTGGTTTGTGTGGTTGATTCTGATCCGTAGCAACCCTATAGTTAGATTATATAATTTCATGTTTAATAATGGCTGTATTTAACAAAGAAAAGTGCTGGTGGTGCAGTGGTTAAAGCACTTGGCTGCAAACCAAAGGTTGGGAGTTCCAACCCACCAGCTGCTCCACAGGAGAAAGATAAGACAGTCTGCTTCCTTAAAGATTACAGCCTTGGAAACCCTGTGGGGCAGTTCTACTCTGTCCTATGTTGTTATGTGCCGTTGAGTCAGCCCTGACTCATAGAGACCCCTCCTTAGGTTTCTGAGGTAGTATCAGTATGGAACTAGATTGCCCAACCTTCCTTCCAAAGAGTGGCTGGTGGGTTTGAACCACCAGCCTTTTGGTTAGCAGTCAAGTGCCTTAGGCACTATGCTACCAGAGCTCCTACTCTGTCCTATAGGGTTGCTATAGTGGGTTTCTTGGGTTTTTTGTTTTTCTAAGGGGGAGAGTTTATTTAACAACCAGCTGAATTCCTGAAATTCCTGAAAATTGTAACAATCAGCTCTTGTGAGATGATACGGAGGTGGCTGCAGCACATGGCTGGATGGATACACACACAGGCAGAAAAATAACAAAAGCATGTGCTGAGTGGTCAAAGGACAAGGATGTGGGGGAGAGTCACCTCCATCCATCCTCTCCACCACATTCCCCACCTTCACTGCTTCTCAGCCTGCCTGCCCAGCCCCACCTACCTGCAGCAGGAAGTCAAAGAGTGCCAGACGAGCCCACTCCGTGTGGCGGATGCCCAGACACGGCGCCTGGCCTGGCCAGCTGCAGCCACGCACCAGCAGGGCCTGGTACTGCAGCCAGCCTAAGGCCAGAGAGTTCTGGTCGTCGTCAGGGTCTGCCAGGTGCTGCACGTCAGGCGCCCACCAGATGAGGGGCCTTGCGTCACCATTTGTGTAGCGGTAGGGCAGCAGGGAGCTGTGAAAGCGCCGGGCCACGGCAGGCAGACTACGCCGCAGCCCTAGCACACGGTCCACATGGAAGGACAGGACCTCAGGCAGATCCCTAGGCCTCTTGATGAGCCCACAGAGACCCTGGGAGCAGTGCAGGCTGAGCCCAGGAGGAAGCGTGTCCTGAAGAGCACCCTCAGTAGAGAGGCCGACCTTCATCACCTGCCCATGGGCAGGGACCGGGGCCTTGCCTACCACTTCCCCCAGGGCCAACAGCCTGAGGGTCTGTACATCATGCTCTGTGAACCATGGAGGAACCTGCCCACCAGCCCCTAAGCCCAAGCCTGTCAATATCCTAGGAGTCTCAGTGTTACACCACACTGACCCTTGCAACTCTCCAACAGAGCCAGGCCACTGATGAGCCCTCTGGGTCAGTCCGGGGTCCCCTGCATGTCTCCCACCAGCCAAGGCTCTCTTCTCAGTTTCTGGCAGCTCCCTTCCTTCAGCTGGGTGGGGCTGGAGGGTGGGTCCAGCAGTAGCTCTCTGAGTCCAGAAAATGGTCATGTTGCTTCCTATGAGCTGGCTGCCCAGGGTGCCCATCTCCCTCTGTGTCTTCTGGATGGGACTGTCTGGCCAGATGTGGCCATGGTTTCTGGCTCTCACACCCCTGATCCCATCCTCCCTCAGTAGCACAAGATGCCAAGTTCTGAGTCTTGAACCTCCTACAGCTGTCGAAGCAATGTCCCTCCTGACCCTCCCTGGATGCCTGCTGTCCCCTCCTGGGTACTGCTTGCTTCTGTCCACTCTCTCTCTGTGGCCGTGGTTGTCAGCACAGACCAAGTTGGAATTCCTGGGCAAAGCCAAGCTTCTCCGGAACCCCAAACTTCTTGTCTTCTGCCTCTGGCTGGAGCTCAGAGCCTGCCACTCATGGGGGGCAGGGACACGAGTTAACCCCTGGGGCTCCTTGGAACCAGGATCTGGGCTGGTAGCTGGATGCAGTGGGGGGAAGTGGGTGACAGCCACCACAGACAGGGTCATCAAAAGACAGAATGCCATCATTGACCGCCTCTTGCCACGTAGCCTTCTCCAGAGCCAAGATGCCTGGGCGTAGGGAAAATAGAAAGAGAAAGCTTGAGACTGGGGGAAGACATCAGCCCCAACCCACAGAACAACGGGAACAGAGACAAGGGGCATCTGGGAACATGAGGGACTGAAAAAAGCATAGTCCATGTGAAGAAACACCTAGCTGCCTTCAAGAGAAGAAATGGGTAACCTTAGTGAACTCCACTCAGGTTTCAAGGCTTAGCTTGCTCTGTCCCCTCCAGGTAAGCTCCTCTGATGCCTGCAGGCAGGCGGTTTCTCCCCTATGGCCTCTTCTGTCATTCAACCCCCACTGGAACATGGTCATCCACCACAAGGTCTCTTTCCACGCCCGTCCTCCACCTCCAAGTCCTGGCCACTCTTTTTATCTCCATGTGATCCCTAGGCCCCATGTAGCAGGCTCTAGTTGCCCCCACAAATACACTCTTCCCTTTTTCCAGGACACATGGCCACCCAGCTAAAGATGACTTTTTCTGGTCTCCCTTGTAGCTGGGTGTGGTCATGTGACTTAAGTCTTGCCTGTGGCATGAGAGTCAACCACTTTTGCCTGCCTCACTTGCTTAAATGGAAACTGGGCTGCCCTGTCCTTTCTGTCCTCCCTTTTTCTGCAGGTTGGCACATGAATGAGGCAGCACCACCTCCATATGTTGGTAGGAGGAGCCCAAGTAGCATTTGAAATCAGCTGGTTTTCAGAACGCAGATGCTCTCTTCTCATCTACCACAGCCAGGCTGCTTCCTGCAAATATGCCTGCTTGTAGCATAGGTCCTAAGGCACTTGACTGCTACCCAGAAGCCACTCCTCGGAAGAAAGGTTGGGCGATCTACTTCCATAGTGATACCACCTTGGAAACCAAAGGAGGGGTAGCTATGAGTCAAGTCCTACTTGATGGCACGTAACAACAACAACAACAACAAACATGGTTCTTTGTGTATCACAGCCTCCTCTGCTTTTCTAACTTTAAGCACCCACTGGTGCCTCTGGGCCACTAAGATCACCTCCATTTCCACACCCTTTTTTGCATATATGAGAGGATGATGTGGCCCCTTGGTGTGTGTCTCTCACCTGCAGGTGTATTTTTGTTGTTGTTCTCTGAGATCTGCCCCCAATGGCTCTTTCCTTCACTTTTTCTCACTTCAGCCATCACTGCTCCTGTGTGAACTTGACTGCTTTAAACATCCTTCCCAAATATTTTGGTATCTGCCTCCTAATTTAGCTGGAGAAGGAATTTGCATTTTGTCTTCCATTTGCTTTGCTGCTATTGGATGATTTCCAGTAGAAAAGGAGAATGCTAAATTTATGCACCCATTTATGCACCAACAGTCCTCAATGGCACATTTTTGAGAAGCAAAGGAGCACTCCTTTACAGAATGTCCAGCCCACAAGACAATCACTTTTTAAAAACATTTTTATTGTGATATGGGTGAAAGTTTACAGAGCAAATTCACTTTCCATACAGCAGCTCACATATACTTTGTCTCATGACATTGATGACTACAATTTCCCACAATTTAACAGCTCCCCTCCCACTTCTTCCCCATAGTTACCTCTTCCCTATGTCCTTCTCTCCCAGGCACTCCTGCCCCACAAGCTGTCTCCCTGTGCATACACAGCCCTTCTATTCTCCCATGATTGATCTCCCCAAGGAATGTATCTACTTAATGTAAATGTTCAGCTCATATGCCCATCTTTTGCTTGGCTGGAAGCCACAGGAGTGGGTTCAGTTCGAGACCTGAAGGGCAGCTAGGGGCCATAGTCTTAGTGGTTCCACCAGGCTCTATCAGACCAACAAACCTGCTCCCCCCCCCTTTTTATGATTTGGAGTTTGTTCCACATTGTTCTCCCTCTCTATCCACGATCTCCTACACAGACCGCCCCTCCTCCAAGTGGTTGCCAGCGGTAGCCAGGCACCATCTAGTTCTTCTGGTCTCATAGTCATATAGGCTGAGGATCGCATGGTGTACCAGTCTCTTGGACTAATTGCTTCCATGGGTCTTTGGTTTTCTTCATTCTTCTTTGCTTTAAAAGAGGAGGGACTCATTGTTGCATCTAGATGGCCACTTGAAAGCTTTTAAGATCCCAGTTGCTACTTGCCAAAGTAGGAGGTGGAACAATGTTTTGTGTAGTATGTTATGCCAATTGAGTTTGATGTCCCCTGGGACTAGGGTCTTGAGCCCACAGGTCCAACTACTTGCTCCCTCTGGGAAGCTGGCTGTGACCAAGAAGTGACTACAACCTTGTCCCTTGTTAGCTCTTACAGCATACCTGGGAATTCTTACAGAACATACACGTACACTGGTAGAAACAAGAACAATCACTTTCCGACTTCTGAGTTCGGGAACCTCAGCACCCAGACAGCCTTGGGAATGCCCAGAATCTTGCTCCCTCTGCACATTTCCGTAAGATCCAGGGAAGTGCATTAGCTGTGCATGAACAAAGTGCAACCTCCACGTGGGCTAACCACTCAGTACCCCTACCAAGAGACCACAATTGAAGCCCACCCATCACAGATTTCTAGATGTCAAGGAGACAGGAAGGGACAACCAGGTCCGCTAGAAGTCCTCCCGTTTATATCTAACTCACTCTCTCCTCAAAAGTACCTCTCTTTGTTTCCAATCTGGCTAAAGGTAGCTGTTATGTATACTGTTGTATACATGTTCTCATATCACATAAGTCATTATGCATGCTTCCAGACTGCCTTTCCTACTATTATGATGTTTTTATAATGTTTTAAACACATATGCATAAGTCACTTATAATGTGAAGTTATGAAATTACTATACGAAGAAGAATACAGCATCAGGATTGGAGGAAGACTCATTAACAACCTGTGATCTGCAGATGACACACCTTGCTTGCTGAAAATGAAGATGACTTGAAGCACTTACTGATGAAGATCAAAGACTACAGTCTTCAGCATGGATTACACCTCAACGTAAAAAAAACCAAAATCCTTACAAGTGGACCAATAAGCAACATTGTGATAAATGGAGAAAAAATTGAGGTTGTCAAGAATTTTGTGTCACTGGGATACACAATCAACACCTTTGGAAGCAGCAGTCAAGAAATCAGACATCATATTGCACTGGGAAAATCTGCTGTAAAAGACCTCTTTAAAAACGTTAAGGAGCAAAGATGTCACTTTGAAGACTAAGGTGAGCCTGACCCAAGCCAAGGTATTTTCAATCGCCTCACATGCATGTGAAAGCTGGACAATGAATAAGAAAAACTGGAGTAGAATTGATGCTTTTGAATTGTGGTGTCAGTGAAGAATACTGAAAATACCATGGACTGCCAGAAGAACTAACAGATCTGTCCTAGAAGAAATGCAGTCAGAATGCTCCTTAGAAGCGACAATGGCCAGACTTTGTCTCACCTACTTTGGTCATGTTGTCAGAAGGGACCATTCTCTGGAGAAGGTTATCATACTTAGTAAAGTAGAGGGTCAGCAAAAACGGGGAAGACCCTCAGTGAAATGGATTGCCACAGTGGCTGCAAGGATGGGCTAAAGCGTAGCAATTGTGAGGATGGTTCAGGACCAGGCAGTGTTTCATTCTGTTGTACACAGGGTCGCCATGAGTTGGAGACGACTTGATGGTCCTAACAACAACAATGAGAAGTTATAAATAGAGAATTTCTGAACTTAGAAACATACGTATTCTTATAATGATTTTCAAGTCATTATGAAGTTGTTCTAACCTTGAAATAGATAACAGAAGTATGTGAAGTATATCGTAAATAAATTCTCTAAATTGGGCTGTGCACCTGCAGTCTGTCCTAACGACAGGTAACATTAATCAAATCTTTATAAATTAGCAAAACATAAATATGTCACTAAACAATTCCCACAATTTTTAATTAATTAACTGGTCTTGAAGCATATATAGTAAACAAGAACATAAATATGCCATGCCCTAATTGGCAATAATTCAGATCTCTATAAAATCAGCAAAACATATGTCATGCGACAATTCCCTTAATTGGCAATAAAACAGGCCAATTATGGTTAAACATGACAGCACACGTAGTGTATAAACCCATGGATTTCTGCTTATTTTCAAAGAAGAGAGAACAAAAGTTCTCTCTGACTCTCTGTCTGAAGACTGAACCCCTGCTGAGGTAGTGCACACCACAACCAACCTTGGAGCCTGCCTACGAGGGACGTCTCTGAGTTTGAGGGGTGACAAGTCTCCCCCTGCCCCTTTACTTTAGGTAAAGCCTAAAATCTAATGATTTGGACTCTAACATTTAAATTAACATTGTAACTGTTAATTGATTCTCCAAAGCTAAATGAATGCCTTAAAGTCTTACTTGCATGTCTTGCCATGACTACCTTGCAATAATCTAAACTAGGTTATATGCATGACAAACCTAACTATCTCTTTATTTATTCTTAAGGTAAAATCCTCCAGGACAATAGCACTGTCCACCAAGATACCCACGCCAGAGATCTGGACCTGACCTTCAATCGACTCTTCCTTCTCCCCCATATATCAAGTCTTGCAAATTCCTCCTCATAAACACCTCTTACATCAGTCCATTTTCCATTGACCCCTCTGTGTCTACCTTAGCCCAGGTGCCATCTTCTTTCACTAGGACACCTCCCATGGCCTCACTCCTGCTACTCACCAATACACTCACCACAAACTGGAATATACCCTTCCAAGCCTCTTTAGAGAAAATCTAAATGCCTTAAGTGTTCCAGCTATATTGAGCTTCTTTCAGTTTCTAGAATGTGCCAGGCCCTCTCTGTCTCTAGACCTTTACACATGCTGTTCCTTCTGCCTGGAACATTCCCCTCCTCCCTATTCGTATCCTTCAGGTCTTAGCTTAGACACTGTCCTGCCCAGGAAGCCTTCTCCTGAGGTCCTTCAATAGGTTGGATGCCCTGGCTATGTGCTCTCATAACACACAGTTTCTCTCGAGCACAGCCCTTTTCAATCTATATTGGATTTGGTCA